CCCTCAGTGCTAAGTGGTAGGTCAGGATGGTGGCCGTGCCAGCCGTGTCCCCAGGCCCGGTGGAAGCACCACCATGAGGGATGTCTCCGGCGGGGGGGTCACACCGCTCCTCTTCGCCGGGAAGAGGCCGCTCCCCTGAAGGTTGTTCCCTTTCTCCTGTGCAGCCTCCTGGGTTTGCTCGACACCGCAGTGGAAGTGAACGTCACGTCCAAGGTCCGGCTGGCTGTGGACGACACGGGGTCCCCCAAACTGGTGACAGAGAGATGCGATACCCTCCTCGGCGGCATTAAAGTCAGACTCCTGAGAGGGTGAGTGACGGAAGAGCCCTCCTCCACCGGTGTGAGCCACCTCCTCACCGGGCTTTGCTGGCACCTGCAGAACGGCCAGTGCACGACGGCATTTCCCAAATGACCGTGCCACCCCCGGCCAACGTCCCCGTAGGTGTCAGTCGCTCACCCTGTCACGGGGCTGAGCAAAGGGTGGCTGCTGCAGGGGGACCCCTGTGTGCCCCTCGCACAGCCGCAGCAGATGGACACGTCCCAGAGGGCTGCACGACCCCACGGCGGTCCCGGGGGACGTTTCTGTCCCACGTGCCATGCTCTCGGGTCATTTTAGCTGACACTGCACGGGGCCTTCTGGGCCGTGAGCACGTGGAACGTAAATCAGAGAAACCACGTGGGCCGAGGGAGTTTCTGCTCATTTAAGGAGACTACACACCAGGAGATAAAAAGCAGCAATAAATTTCCCAGTGGCTATTTTGGGATGCAAATGACACTTATCTCATGCAAAATCCAAGCATCTGCGATGCACTTTGCTGCTGCAGTTGCCTCGCTCCGGGAGGTCTGCGCTCCGCACTCTTCACAGGGAATTCTTTAACAAGACCCATTTGCTTTGCAGCAGGCTTTTTTTTTTTTTCATGGTGCTCTTTTATTTTTCCACAGCCTGCTCCCAATTGTGGATAATTTATTGGCAAGTGTCTTGAACAGACTTCTTCCTAATGTGGTAAGTTGGAAAAAAATCCTCCAGCCTGGAAAGGAGCAATGAGCCCAAAAAGCAGCGGTGCAGCTCCCCACAGCATGGCCCCTGTCCCAGGGCTGCTGCATACACCTGCCCCCCCAGTGGCTTGGGATTAGTGGGGGACACATGCCATGTCTCCATCTGTTTGGGAGAAGCTGCTCCCTCTTTCCAAACACAGGGTCAGTGAGGCTGGCATGGGTCTGCCCAAGCACCTGGGAGCTTCTAACGATGCCTGGGAGCGTGTTATGGGCTAATTGAATCCCTCCTGCCTCCGGGGTCTCTCCAGCCATCCTATATGGGCTCCTGAGTCCTAGTCCTAACCCTGCTTAGCCAACGAGGGGCAAGGTGCCCAGGGCCAAATCCAGGGCTGGCACAGCTCAGCAGCCCCGTGGAGCGTGCCACCCCACACGCCCCGCGCTCCCGTCCCCCAGGAGAGCAGGGCAGAGCCAAGCTGGGCTGCATGTCCCAGTCTGGCTCTGAAGGCGGGTCCCTCACTGTCCCTCTCTGTCTCTTGCAGCTCTGCCCGGTGGTCGACGTCGCCCTGGGACTGGTCAACGACAAGCTGGGTCTTGTGACCTGTAAGTATGTGGTGGGTCCCACGCCTTGCCCTGCGTGTCACCTCTGCTTTGGCTGTGTGAGGACTGTGACGCTTTCCCCTCCGCTGCTGCACCCCAGGCGGGAAGAGCAAACCCCCCCCACTTCACCCTGCAGACATCTGCCCCACCCCAGGAGCAGGGACCCCCAGCAGCTCCCTGCCAAGACCCCAAGAGCCCTGGAGGGATGCTCTTCCCTCCCCAGATCTCCCCTCTCCCCATCTCTCATCCCAGACAGAAGGGCCCCTGGCTGCAGAAGGGTGCCCATCGACGGGGGCCGTGAGCTCCCCCCCATCTGCAGCAGCAGCACGCGCTGCTCGTTAGGGAAACGACATCTCCTGCAGCATTCCCGCTCAGCACGGAGCGCTTGGAGCTGGGGACAAGGGGCTGCTCTGAGCCCACCCCCAAGCCAGGGCTCTTCTGGAAGAAGCAGTGCTGCAGGCAGGGGAGGGGACATTTGCCCCTGAGCCCAGTGGGGAATCACTGAGTTGCTTTCTCTCCCCTCAGCACTGGTGCCCCTGGGTGTGCTGGGCAGCATCCAGTACACCGTGTCCAGCCTTCCCCTGGTAACCAGCCAGTTCCTCGAGGTTGACCTGAACGTAAGTCCTGCCTCTCCTCCTTCCGCCCCGACAAGGGTTGGGATGTTTCACGTGGGTTTGGGAAGGTCCCTTGGGCCCCGTACAGCTGAGCGGGGGGCTCCGAGGTCACTGTGAAAAGCCCAGGAGGGGGTCCTGGCTCCGTGCCCTGGTGCCGACATGGGAGAGTGCCGCGGGGTTGGCATCCCATGAACTTCTGGAGAAGGAAGTGTCACGGGGCATGACTTGGCGTGGGCGTGCGGGCAGCGATTTCACCCCAAAGGGACGTGAAGTTAACCGTAAAGGCAAATATTGCAAACAACTTGGCTTGTGCTTCCTTCCCCTGTAACTCCAGGCCGTGGTCGGGCGAGTGGCCGGAGGCCTGGTGGACTATCCTTTGGGAAAGCCAGAAGCCGTCCCTGCACCACCACGGGTCCCCATGCCACCCCTGCCACCCATGGCAGACACCAGCTCGTCCCAGCTGGGCATCTCCGTGAGCTTCCTCAGCTCCATGCTGCGGCTCCTGCAGGAGGAGGGCGCCCTGGACCTGGACATCTCCAGCGGGATGGTGAGCAGGGAGCGCTGCCTCGCTCAGGTTGGGGAGGGCTCGAAGTGCAAACTGGTCCTGCTGCGCGATGCCTCGGCTCCTCCGTGCCATCTGCCAGGGTCTCCACTCCCTTGGTGGAAAATGCGAGGGAGACCGTGTGGTACCAGCCTGCGGCGCGCTGCTGGTGGGAGCAGGTGTCTGCTGCCGACCGCCACACACACGGGCAG